CCTCACCCGAGCTGTGCCCAAAGAGGGCACACACTGTGCCGTGATGTCCGGCCGAGGCACCACACTCAGTAGGGAGGAGGTCAGTGAGTGGTTGACCACTGGATCGATGGCCAAGGCAGCTAGGCCAGGCAGAGCCAGAAGGGCCACGGGTGGCCGGCTGAGAACATCTCGTGTGTATTGTACATCCCAGAGTCACCTTGGGAGTGGGTGGCGGGGGCGCGGGGATGTGCCTGGTTCTGTTCAGAGTAGGACCTGACCTGGCACTGTCCAGTTTGGAACAGGGAAGCGGTGGGAATTCCCGGGAAGGGTGACGTCTCTGGTGGAAGGGATGGAGTCGATGGGCAGGGTTACTGACTCACCAGGGTGGTCTGGCAGCGGGTACGGTCAATCTCCGGGAGACCACGGCAACATGGTGTGGACGTTCAGTGCCTCTCCGTTCCCGGGAAATCTACCTTCGGGTCAGGACAGGGGCCGAGAGCTGTAGGACCACTCATGGTGGCGGTGGTGTTGGCGTCGAAGGGCACAGGGACACAAGCAATGGCGCGCTGGGTTAACCGGTGGGAGGGCAGTGGCAGGGTGCCAGGGTAAGGTTTTATAGACAAACAGACGGTGAGCACAGTACACCCCCACCCCCCCAACCCCCAACCCACCAGCCAGTCGGACACTCACCACGTTGGAGACGTTCGGAGAGGCACCATGCTGCAGTAACTTGGTGACAATGTTCAGGTTCCCCATGAAGGCAGCAACATGCAGCGGGGTTAGCCCCGACTGCAAAACAAACAGAGTTAGAGACGGTGGGGGGCAGGGGGAGGGAGGCGGGGGTGGGGTGGGGGGAGGGAGAGACAGGGACAGAGAGAGACAGGGACAGAGAGAGAGAGAGGGACAGAGAGACACTGGGACAGAGGGACAGGGACACAGAGAGAGAGACAGGGACAGAGAGAGAGAGGGAGAGAGAGACAGAGGGACGGAGAGAGAGAGAGGGACAGAGAGAGACACAGGGACAGAGAGAGACAGGGACAGAGAGAGAGAGACAGGGACAGAGAGAGAGACAGGGACAGAGAGAGACAGGGACAGAGAGAGAGACAGGGACAGAGAGAGAGACGGCGGGGGGGGGGGGGAGACAGGGGGGGACAGACAGGGATAGCAAGACAGAGAGAGAGAGGGACACGGACAGACAGACATGGACAGAGAGAGAGAGAGACAGAAACAGAGAGACAGGGAGAGACAGACAGAGACAGAGAAACAGATAGAGAGAGAGAGAGTGAGGCATAGGAACAGAAACACACACAGAGACATGTCACAGGTCACAGGTGAGCATGTCTAACACACTGGTTGGGAATTGGTTTCATCTAACATACCCAATGGGTGAAGTTACACATTTAACACACAGACAGCACTGAGACCAGCGTTTTCACAGGAGACACAGGATGGTATCAAGTCCATTCTGTGCACATCTGATCGTGTGGCAAAAGGATGGCGTTAACTGCCCCAACCTTGTGATGCCTTGACAGGACGGGGACAAGTCCTGTTCTGTGAGTCGCTGTGAGGTCAGCTCTGAGAGAGGCAGCTTCCCAGTTTGGGCAGAGGGGATTAATTGGAGCATCATGGTACCAGTCCCTGCCCGTCCTGAGGGGTGTGAGACTGTCGGTAGGCCTCAATCAGCTCAGAAGGCCAGTTTGTGATATGGAACAGCAGGTCAGGAGTGGTATCTCTGATCTCTGCAGTCGTAAACCTGAAGAAAATCTTTTTTTTGCAATAGTTGTCCTATGCTGTGGCTTATAACTGTGAAGATAGAGATTCTACTCGTAATTGTACAAACCTCTTTTTTATTCTCTCACTAACCATTGAAAGAAATCAGAGAAAAATAATGCAGTGAACAGCAGAAAAGTCATAAGGATCATCTCAACAACAGTACTTGGGAACAAAAACTACTGAACTGTCTTTCCAGTTTTTCCCCAATTGTCCAAAATTTACACTGTCTGTGTGTAAGGGGGAATCTATAAGGGGAATAGAGTTTTAATGAGTATTATATGTCGAAGGTTTACAATTGTTTGTGTAGCTAGAGTCTAATTACTTGCAATAAATAGTCATTCTTGCTCAGTTCAAAAATGAGGTCCATGTTTTTCTCTCAGTCGGTGTCTGATCATTTGTGTCTGTTTGGGAACAGGACACATTTGCTCTAAACTTTTTGACTTGTGTTCCCACTCTGGGAATAGCGGGAGGCGATTTGGAATGTGCCAGCCCAGTGCGGTGTGACAAGGTTCCCCACCCCCTTGTTGCTGCGGAGGGTCACTAGGTTGATTCCGGAATTGAGAGGGTTGACTTATGGGGAGAGACTGGGACTACACTCATTGGAATTTAGAAGAATGAGGGGGGATCTTATATAATGATATAAAATTATGAAGGGAATAGATAAGGTGGAAGCAGGGAGGTTGTTTCCGCTGGCGGGTCAAACTAGAACTAGGGGATGTAGCCTCAAAATAAGGGGGGAGCAGATTTAGGACTGTGCTGAGAAGGAACTCCTTCACCAGAAAGGGCTGTGAACCTGTGGAATTCCCCGCCCAGCGAAGCCGTTGGGCTACCTCGCTGAATGTTTTTATTGCAAAGATAGAGTTTTGAACAGTAAACGAATTAAGGGTTATGGTGGGCGGGTAGGTAAGTGGAGCTGAGTTCACAAAAACGTCAGCCATGATCTTATTAAATGGTGAAGCAGATATGACGGGCCGGATGGTCTACTGCTGCTTCTATTTCATACGTTCACCTCTTGCTCTTCATCGACAGGAACAGGGAAAGCAGGAGCAGGACGAGGCCATTCAGCCCTCTCCCCTGCCTGCTCCACCATTTCATACAACGCTTTGTGAACCCTTTTCGGCCCCGGAGCCATACCCAACCCCTTCTTGAAAACATTCAATGTTCTGACCTCGGTAGCTTTCTGTGGCCGGGAATTCCACAGGCTTCTCCCCAACCAACTCTCCGGGTGAGGACACATCGCACTCCGCCCACTCCCTACCCCAACCCAATTCAAAATGGCAGCGCCCCCAACCGTCCCCACATCTCGGGAACGTTGCCCACTCCTGGAATATGGTGATCCAAATCCCTGATGGCTGAAGCCAGTGAGGTGGTGAGGGGGGACACTCTCGGAACGGTGTGAGAGCTGGAAATGGATCGGTGCAGCGGGACGCGTGGAAAATGTTTTTACCTCAGTGACAGCCTCGAGAGAAGCTCCATGTTTCAGCAGTAGTTCCATCAGTTGGACATGGTTTTTCTTGCAGGCGATGTGTAACGGGGTGAAGCCGTTCTGGGGGAGGGCACAGCGAGAAGGACAGGCGTCAGGGTCACCAACCGAAGGGACAGCCTCAGGCACTGACCGGTAGTGCCGACCACCACGCCCCCTCCGACCCCGAGGCACCATGCCACCCCCTCCATCCCCTGCGGAGAGGGTTCCGATGACCATGGAAGGGTGGGTGGGCACGGGAAGCTCTGTCCTGGAGGGGCACAGAGCCTCCTGGGTCAAGAGCAGTGGAAGCTCAACCCCACTCTGCGCCCCCGCCAAACCTGAATCCATAAAATGGAGGCAAAATCGTCCGGAACA